CCTCCCTCCCTCCCTTCCTCCCTTCCTTCCATTCTTTCGTTCTTCTCTCTGTCTTATGTCTCTTCCTGAGAATGGTTTTCTTGACCATCCAACTTAAATAGTCCTCCTTTTCAGTGGACTCTCTGCACACGATTTTCACTTGATTTTTCCTCACAGTACAGGATTTGTGGATTCACTCCTTGTTTGTTTGGCTCTACCACAGTTGAGGAAGGCAGGGCCTTTGCTTTGCTCAGAGCTCGATAGGAGCTTATCACAGTCAGTGTCTGATAGACTTCAGCATCCAGCCACCTCTAATTGACGTACAAGGCTCCCAAGAGCATCGCCAATCTTCAGAGAGTAGAATAAGTTAACATTGAGAGCCAGTTCTATTTGTTTTATTTATTTATTTAGGCCAATCATGGGTTTGAACTCAGGGCCTGGGCACTGTCCCTAAGTTTCTTTAGCTCAAGACTAGCACTCAACCACTTGAGCCACAGTGCCACTTCCGGCTTTTTCGGTGTATGTGGTACTGAGGAATCGAACCCAGGGCTTCATGCATGCTAGGCAAGCACTCTACCACTAAGCCACATTCCCAGTCACTTAAAAAAATTAAACAGTTACCATTAGAATTCTATAATCTTGTGTAAGGAGGGGGAGTGTAGTTGTGGAGGTGGGAGGGAAGAGATGGTAGGGGAAAAGCAAAGGAGGAGGCAACAATGCTTGATAGGAAATGTACTCATGATCTTGCTCATGTAACTGTAACCCCTCTGTACAGTATTTTTACAATAAAAAACTTATTTAAAAAAAAGAACTCGGGGGGGGCGGATAGGATGGGATGGGAAGGGGAAACAGAGGAGGCAACAATGCTTGATAAGAAATCTACTCATTACTTTGCCCAAGTAATTGTAACCCCTCTATTCGGTATTTTCACCCAAAAAAAAAACTAACTAAAAAAAAAGAACTCTATAATCTTTGCAATGAAAAAACATGCATTCCTTTACATGTAGCCATTAAAATTCTGGAACTTTATCTCATAGAAACAGTTGGGGGGCCGGGCACCAGTGGCTCATGCCTGTAATACTAACTACTCAGGAGGCTGAGCTCTGGGGATCGTGGTTCAAAGCCAGCCTGGGCAGGAAAGTCCATGAGACTCTTATCTCCAATAAACCACTAGAAAACTGGAAGTGGCACTGTGGTTCAAGCAGTAGAGAACTCGCCTTGAGCTGAAGAGCGCAAGGACAGCGCCCAAGCCCAGAGTTCAAACCCCACGACTGACAAAAAAAAAAAAAAAAGAAACAGTTGGGGAGCTGGGAAGGTGGCTCAGTGGTAGAGTGCTTGCCTAGTATGCATGAAGTCCTGGGTTCAATTCCTTAGCACCATCTAAACAGAAAAAGCCAAAAATGGTGCTGTGGCTCAAATGATAGAGTGATAACCTTGAGCAAAAAGAAACTCAGGGACAGTGCGCAGGCCCTGAGTTCAAGCCCCAGAACTGGCCGGAAGAAGAAAGAAAGAAAGAAAGGAGGGAAGGAAGGAAGGAAGAAGGTAAGAAAGAAAGAAGGAAAGAAAGAAACAGGGAAGTAGATAAGAGGGAAGAGACGAGCCTCCTCTACCATTCTAGCTCCTCTGTCATTCTAGCTACTCAGGAGGATCTGAGGATCCAGGCTTGAAGCCAGTTCAGGTACAAAAATTCTGTAGGATATTTGTCACAAGTTAACCACCAAAAAGCCAGAAGTGGATCTGTGGCTCAAGTGGTAGATTGCTAACTTTGAGCCCAAAAGCTCATGGACAGCACCAAGGCCTTGAGTTCAAACTCCAATACTGGCAAATAAATAAATAAATAAAATGCTTGAAAGACATGGAAATGAAATATTAGTGGTGTCCTCAAATCTTGGCAAATAACATAAAAAAGAAGACGAAATTACAATGTCAAGAAAACTATGCCTGTGGTTTGTCCTGCTTTGGCCTCTTTGCCTCCTGCTTCTAAGCCCTGCTCTGTCTCCTGCAGATGCACAGCCAGACACAGAGAAGGCTCTCCTTCTTCTAGAAATAGTTTGTGGCTTTCCATGTGAAGCCATGTGTGTCCTCAGCCAGGAGGTTTGGGAGTGCTTACCCAGTCTCCTCTCCTGCCCCGTTTTCTTCAGGAGGGAGCACTGGTCTCTGGCTTTGTCAGTGAGCTTGCTTTCCACCTTATCTATAGCGATTGTCCTTCAGATTCCAATGAGAGTCAATCCCAGCACTTTGGCAGGGAGTGTGCAAAGTAGGGAGCTGTCCAATTGGTAACATGAATGCTTCAGAGCAGCTGGGGAACCATTTTCCTAAGCTTGGGGGTGGGGGTAGCCATCCTGAGAAAAAACTAAAAGCAAGCAAGCAAACAAACAAAAAACAACAACGAACAACAGCCTGGCGCTGGTGGCTCAAGCCCGTAATCCTAGCCACTCAGGAGGCTGAGATCTGAGGATTGCTGTTAAAAGCCAGCTTGGGCAAGAAAGTTTGTGAAACTCTTCTCCCCAATGAACCACCAAAAAACCAGAAGTGGTGCTCTGGCTCAAAGTAATAGAGTGCGAGCCTTGAATAAAGAGCTCAGGGACAGCGTCCAGTCCCTGAGTTCAAGCCCCACAACTAACCAAAAACAAACAAACCAAAAACCCAGCAACAATAACAAAACCCAGAGAGACAAAGAGATCTACATATTGCTAGGCCTAGGCTTTTCATTTATGGTGGCTACAAAATTTCTTTTGTGGCATCTCAGAATTACCTTCTTGCTGTCCTCTGTGAGCCAGCGCAGCCTCTGTTGGTAGCAGTCCAGGGTACTGTGGAAACATTGGAAAAACCAATCACTGAGTCAGGGTCACACTGAATGCAGCTACTCGTGAAGGCCATCATGGGATTTTTTTCAATTTTTATTTTAATTTGTTGTTGTTGTTATTACTATTATTATTATTAATATTTGTTGGATATGTGGCTTGAACTCTGGGCCTGATGCTGTCCCTCAGCACTTCAGCTCAAGGCTAATGCTCTACCACCTGAGCCACAGTGCCACTTCCCATTTCTGAGTAGTTTATTGGAGATAAGAGTCTCATAGATTTTCCTGCCCGGGTTGGCTTTGAACCTCCATCCTCAGATCTCAGCCTCCTGAGTAGTTAGGATTACAGGCATGAGCCACTGGCATCTGGCTTGTTAATAGTATTACTATAATCATTATTATATTTGTGTGTGTGTATGTGTGTGTGTGCTAGTCCTGGGGCTTGAACTCAAGGTCTGGGCACTATAACTGAGGTATTTTGCTCAGTGCTGGCACTCTATTACTTGTGCCACAGTTCCACGTCTTGCTTCTTTGGAGAAAAGAGTCTTGAAGATTTTCCTGCCCTAGGCTGACTTCAAATGTGATCCTCAGATCTCAGTCTCTTGAGTAGCTAGGATTACAGGTGTGAGCCACTGACACCCAGCTATTACTATGTAGCTCAGGCTAGTCTCAGATTTGTAATCTTGCCTGAGCTTCATGGATACTGGTATTACAGACATGTACAACCATACTTGGCTGGATTTTTTTTGGTTAATTTTTAAGGCCTTGGGAGAATATGTAAGGCAAAAATTTATCAAAGAGAAAACTTCATAGCAAAGCTACACCCGCCAATAAAGTATGGAAGGGAATCAGGAAAGGGACATTGTGTGCAGATGCTGCTTTGCTAAGTGTCACCATCAGGTGACAGTGGGAGGGTGGGGACATGTATTGTGAGGAACAGAAAGGGCATGCTTGTCTTTGTTCAGATCTGTGTATTTTGTTTTGTGCCAGTCCTGGGGCTAGAACTCAGGGCCTGGGTACTGTCCCTGAGCTTCTTTTGCTCAAGACCAGAGCTCTACCACTTAGCCACAGCTACTTGCAGCTTTTTGTGTGATTAATTAGAGATGAGAGTCTCATGGACTTTACTGTCCAGGTTGGCTTTGAACTGTGATCCTCAGATCTCTGTCTCCTAAGTAGCTAGGATCATAGGCATGAACCACCAGCACCTGGCCAGATCTGTGTATTTGCAGATGAACCTGTCCTTGGTGAGAAGGGATAGAAAGGCAGAGTAGCAGCAGCTCCTTACAGGATCAATTAACAAAAAGATTAGTTTCCAAACAAACAAACAAAACACCAGCCAGGGGAACTTGTTTTGTAGTACTAGCGATTGAAGTCTGGGCCTTTGCTTGTCAAACCTCCAGCCCTGCCTGGGGAACTTCTTGAACTTCACTTAGAGCAAAGCCAGCTATTGCAATGACTACTGGAGCAACCGCGTGTGACTGGGCCTCAAGGTCAGGGCTGGGTCATTGGAGTTTAACTGACATGAAGGCACTGAGGGCAGATGGCATTCTGGGTATGAAATGGCAGGGTGGGGAGTCAAAGGAGTTCTAAGGGAGACCCACTTGTGTTGGAATTCAGTGCTACCATTTACTAGCTTTCTCTTTGCTACCTTTTGTCTTTTTATTAGTGTTATTATTGCCCGTAAGTAGTTATACAAAAGAGTTATAATATCCCAAAGCCTTAAAAAGAAATTTAATGCCCATGGCTCACATCCTGGCTACTCAGGAGGCTGAGATCTGAGGATCATGATTTGACGCCAGCTCAGTCAGGAAAGTCCATGAGACTCTCATCTCCATTATCTATCAAAAAACCAAAAGTGGAGATAAGGTTCTAGTGGTAGAGCACTAGCTTTTTTTTCCTTAGGGTCAGGTCGTGGGGCCTGAACTCTGGGCCTGGGCACTGTCCCTCAGCTCTTCAGCTCAAGGCTAGTGCTCTACCACTTGAGCCACAGCGCCACTTCTGGATTTTTCTTATGTGGTGCTGAGGAATCGAACCCAGGACCTCAAGCATGCAAGGCAAGTGCTCTACCACTGAGCCACCTTCCCAGCCCTAGAGCACTAGCTTTGAGTGAGAAAGTTAAGGGACAGAGCCCAGGCTCTGAATTCAAGCCCCAAGAGTGGCATGTGTGTATACACTCACATATATACAGTTTGCTAGGCATAGTGGTACATGTCTGTAATCTTAGCACTAAGGAGGCTGAGGCAGAATAATTGTAAGCTCAAGGTCAATTGGGCTACTTAGTATAACCCTAAAAGAGATGTGTGTGTGTGTGTGTGTGTGTGTGTGTGTGCGTGCGTGTGTGTGTGCAAGCACTGAGGTTTGAGCTCAGGTCCTTGAACTCTTATTTGCCATTTTGTTCTGTGGTGGTGCTCTACCACTTGAATCACACCACCAGTTCCAAAACAGATTATTTTTTAAATAAATTTTTTAAAGAAATAAAACTCAGCCCCAGAGTTTCATCACCTTCAACCTGAAGCTAATAATCGGATTCTATCTGAGCTAATTTGCCAAAAGTTCAATATACTGAAAATCAATTTACCAAGGGATCTGAATAGATGTGAAATGCTAAGTTCACAATTAAAATCAAGTGAAGAGCTGGGAATATGGCTTAGTGATAGAGTGCTTGTCTAGCATGCACGAAGCCCTGGGTTCAATTCCTCAAAACCACATAAACATAAAAAGCCAGAAGTGACGCTGTGGCTCAAGTGGTAGAGTGCTAGCCTTGAGCAAACAGAAGCTCGGGGGCAGTGCCCAGGCCCTGAGTTCAAGCCCCAGGACTAGCCAATAAAAAATAAATAAGTAAATAAAATCAAGTTCAATGTTACAGAATTCTTTAAAAGTCATTTAATTTTCAAATCCGAAATACTTTCAGTCAAATTTACAGTTCAATGAGGTTTGGTAAACTTGGCGATCAGCCTTTCTATGTTGATCTTTTAGTGACTGTTGGTTAAATTATTTACAATGTGCTTTTGGAAGCTGCCAAAGAAGATGATGCAGGGCTGGGAAGGTGGCTCAGTGGTAGAGCGCTTGCCTTGCATGCATGAGGCCCTTGGTTCGATTCCTCAGCACCACATAAGCAAAAAAGAAAAAAGCTGGAAGTGGCACTGTGGCTCAAGTGGTAGAGCGCTAGCCTTGAGCTGAAAGAGCTGGGGGACAGCGCCCAGGCCCAGAGTTCAGGGCCCACGACTGGACCCCCCCCCAAAAAAAGAAGATGATGCATGCAGCCCTCAGCCAAATTTGAGGCATTAATAAAAAATGTTAATAAATGTTAGCTATTAATTATTATGATAACCTTTCAGGAAGCCTCAGGTAAACAGTTAAGTATGGACCACAGTTTGCTACAGCTGGGACACCAGCTTAAAGACAGATCTCAGAACACACGTCTGTGAGCAAGAGTGTACATATTTACACACTAGTGACGTGCATATGTTTGCAAAGGTATGAACCCAATGTCAATTTGACATTGAAAGTAGTCAATCTTAGCCAGGTAACAGTGGCTCACGCCTGTAATCCTAGCTACTCAGAAGGCTGAGATCTAAGGATCTTGATCTGAAGCCAGCCTGGACAGGAAAGTCCATGAAATTCTTATCTCCAATTAACCATCCAAAAAGAAAAGCCAGCAAAAAACAAGAAATGGATGTGGCTCAAATGGAAGAGTGTCAGCCTTCAGTGAAAAAGCTCAAAGCTCCTAGTCCCTGAGTTCAAGTCCAGTACCAGCAACCAAAGAAAAGTAGTCACTCTGAAGCCATTAAACATCAAATGCTGGCATGGTGATTCATACCTGTAATCCTAGCTACTTGGGAGGCAGAGAGAGAGGGATCTCAGCTCAAGGGCAGCCCAGATAAAAAGTTGTGGAGACTCAATCTCAATCAGTAAACTATGCCTGGTGATGCATGCTTCTGACCCCAGATATACAAGAGGTGTTAGTAGTAGGTTTATTGTCTAAGGTTGGTCCAGCAGAGCAAAAACAGGGATTGGGGACGTGGCTCAAGTGACAGAGCTGCAGCCTAGCAAGTGTGAAGGCCTGTCAAAAAAGCAAGCAAGCAAGAACAAAGAAAATTACCAAATAAAGGTACAGCTTTTCAGTATACATCCAAAGGGACTGTGGATTTATGTATGTATGCACGTATTTATGTATTATGTATGTATGAATGTGCCAGAGCTAGGGCTTGAACTCAGGGCCTGGGTGCTAACCCTGAGCAAAAAAGCTCAGAGATAGAACTTTACCATTTGAGCCACAGCTCCACTTCTGGTGTGTTTTTTTAATTTCTTTTTTTTGGGGGGGGGGGTTAATTGGAGATAAGAGTCTCACAGGGGAGAGACTCTGCCTGGGTTGACTTTTAACCTTGATCCTCCAATCTCAACCTGCTGAGTAGGTAGGATTACAGGTATGCACCACTGACAGCCAGTGGGTCCCAATAGGGTTCTGAATTTTGTTTTTTAATTGTATACTTTTTTTTGGTACTGGGTGATCGAACCCAGGACACTGCACTTGCTAAGCAAGCACTTTGCCACTGAGCTACATCCCAGCCTAAGACTGTGGATTTTTCAAAAAGGCATAAAGCACTGATTTGTGATAGGGACAGACTGGGACTCCAGGGGGGTGAGCCCTGCCCCTTTTCACTGAGATGCTGTTTGAGCCTAGTTCTATCCAGGTGGGGACATGGGACAATTCCTGAGCTCTGGGTGTTAGCAGGATGTTGCGAAGCACTTACTCTGAAAGCCTTGACTCGAAATGGCAGATGGTCTGGGGAGAGAAGTTCATCTTCTCTGTCATCTTGCCCCCCTCCTCCCTGAGAACACAAAGCTTTGTGAGTGGGGTTGCAGACCGGGGGTGGGTGTTACTTGCAGCCATGGGGAACAGGGGGTCAGACTTACAGCATGGCCGTGCCCTGTCCTATCAGGTCAGCCAGGGTGAGTTTCTCAAGCTTTAAACTGTGAGTCGAAAGCCAATCTTCAGAATCTTGCAAAGCTGACGTGTGGGTCCGCTGCAGCCTCTGAAGGACAGAATTCAGTAAGACAGAAAAGAGGAAAGGGAGCACACAGGCCTCAGTTTCCCTCATGTGTCAAGTCTTGCCCACTGATCCAGTCCCCAACTTAAGACAGTGTTTTTAAAGCTGGGCATTGGTGCCTCATGCCTGTAATTCTAGCTACCTAGGAGGTTGAGTTCTGAAGGTTGTGATTCAAAGTCAGCCTTGGGCAGGAAAGACCGTGAGACTCTCAGCTCCAATTAAGCAGCAAAAAGCCAGAAGTAGAGCTGTGCCTCATTGGTAGAGTGCCAGCCTTGAGCAAAAAAGCCAGGCAAGAGCACAAGGCCCTGAGTTCAAGCCCTAGTCCTGGCTGGTGCGCGCGCGCGCGCGCACACACACACACACACACAATGGTGCAAAAGTTCTCCTTGCCTAGGGAGCAGGTGCACAGGGGTGCTCTATGCTCTGAGTTGGCTGTGCTGTCAAAACCACTCATCCCGCATTGACCAAAAACAAATGCACTCGTTACCTGACTGTAACCTCTCTGTACATCATCTTTATAACAGCAATTGAAAAAATAACTCCGCTCACCCCCATGCCCATTTGATGACCCAGATGTGGCTCGACTGTTCAAGGGCCATTCACCTCGTGACTGGACATGCAGACATACATGGCTGCCACTCCAAACAGGATTGACCAGGATTTGGCTGATGACTTAGCTTCTCCTGAGTGTGTGCAGGGTAGGGAAGTGTCATGAGGCTTCAACTCAGGGCTGGGCAGTGTCCCTGAGCTTTTTTGTTCAAGGCTAGTGCTCTACCACTTGAGCCACAGCTCCACTTCCAGCATTTTTGGTTATTAATTGAAGATGAGTTTCATGGACTTTCTTGCCCAGGCTGGCTTTGAGTCATGTTCCTTAGGTCTCAGCCTCCTAAGTCGCTAGGATTATACTCATGAGTCACAGTGCCTGGATGCTCCTCAATTTTTTTTTAAATCCTAACTTCTAATTCAGGATCAACTGGAGAAAGCCAAGTACATCCAATGCTTCCTCACCCCAACAAGCTGAGTCAGGTGCACCTGGAGCCTTCCTTCATTCCATAACCATCCCTACTTCCCACCTGTCCATGAGTCTCAGGCTAGGGGAAGCTGGTGGTTGGTTCTCTGTGGAATAGTCTTTGTTTCTTGTCAGATCCGGTTCTCTGGACCTGTTCAGCTAAGTTCTGCCTCCTATCTATCTAAGGGTCCTCAACAAGCATGTATTGACTTACTAGGGGGGATGGGTTATTCTGTCTTTGCTGGGCCCAGAACCAGGAATGGAGAGGGGTTCTCTAGAGGAAAACATTCCCAGCCATCACAGCACAGAAAAGAAAGACCTGTGTGCAGAATGTGGGTGGTGTGATGTAATCACACACACACACACTCAACTGATACACACAAACACACAGACATACACAGATACAAACACACGCAGACACACAGATACATACAGACATACATACACAGATGCAGACACAAAGGCAAACACAGACACACAAATATACACACAGACACAAATACACATAGAAATACATATACCGGTACATATAGACATACACAGACACACACAGATCCAAAGGCAAAAACAGAGACACACAAATACATGCACAGACACACACAGATACAGACACAGACATACACATACACACAAACACACAGATACACTGCACACAGACACACAGAGATACAAACATACCCAGACACAAGGCAGATACATGGGCAAACAGAAACACATACAGATACAAACACAGATGCACACAAACGCAGACACAAATACAAACACAGACACATCTAGGCAGACACACAGACACCCATAGAGACACCAGCACACACACAGACCAGTTTTGGAGTCCTGCTCTTACAGTGGAGTTGTTGATCTCCTTCTGGCACCTGCGTGGATGCCAGATGGGCCCTCTTTGGGGTGGGGGAGTAATCAGGAGTGCTCTGCTCCATGAGTGGGCCACTCCTCATGGACAGTGGGTACAGGAATAAGAGGCGAAGCTGGGCACCGGTGGCTCAGGCCTCTAATCCCAACTACATAGGAGGCTGTGTAGGAGCACAATTCAAAGCCAGCCTGGGAGGGAAAGCCCATGAGAGACTCTTATCTCCAATAAACTACTCTGAAAAAGCCAGTAGTGGCACTGTGGCTCAAGTGGTAGAGCGCTAGCCTTAAGCACAAAAAAGCTCAGGGACAGTGCCCAGGCCCTGAGTTCAAGACCCATGGGAGAAGAAGAGGAGGAGGAAGAGGACGAGGAGGAGGAGGAGGAGCAGCAGCAGTGGCAGTAGCAGTAGCAAGAAGACATAGGCAGAGAGGACAGGTATACACAGGGCTCTCCATGCCGTGTCACAAGGCATGTCTTCCCTCCTTACCTGGCCATGGGCGTAGTGAAGCTGGGGTATATGACACAGCCTTGAACAATAGTCCTTAGTCACCTATTCTGGTTCGGATATAAATAGAAAGCCACCAGAAAGGAAAGACAATGAAAATATAATGCTGCTCCCCGATTCCAGCGAGATCCTATTACATAAGTTCTGTGCCCAGATGCCACCCTTCCCTCTGTGGCAAAAGGAAATTAGTAAATGTGTTAAAAAAAAGTGTGAAAAACGTACTCATAATGAGGGCAAACACTGATACAGCATGTACTTTGTGTCCTATAGAGTAGAACTCCATCCTCCTGATGAACAAGCAGAAGCACAGGACAGTGAAGTGATTTGCCCCAGGCCACACAGCTGACAACTAGGGAGCTGTAAAGTCCAAGACAGGCTTGTAATAGAACATGATCTTGCTTTTTTGCAGTTAGCACCAAGCTGCCACTACCCAAGGAAGAACTGAGAAAGGACTGGCAAGGTGACTTTCTCATGATAGGATTCCAAGCTAATGAATGTCCTGGCCTTAAATCAGAGTCCCTGTACCACCCTGTACCATACTTCAGTCAGCCCTGCAGTGCAGAGTAGCAACACTAGATGTCGCTCTCCTCATCTTTTAGGTGGACCCGTTGGTGGCTCACACAGAGGGGGAGACTTGGCTTCACTTTGCTTCCTTCCATCTTTTCTTCCTTTTTAGTAGGGGAGGGGCCTGGGTTCTGTGCTTAGCTGCTCCCTTCCCCCACCAGGCTGTTGCTTTAGCATTCAACCCATATCTTCACTTCCAGATTTGTCTGCCTGGCCTAGCTTTGAACAGCGATCCTCAGCCCTTAGCCCTCCCAAGTAGCTAGGATTGCAAGCGTGAGCCGCTGGCGCCTGGCTTTTGAACTTTTGAGCCACCAGTTTCCAACTCAAAAAAGAGCCTATAGTTCCGTGCCAACTCAGGCAGATCGATCTGGGAGACTTTTATCTCCAGTTAGCCAGGAAAAAGCTGGAGTTGGAGCTGTTCCTCCAGTGGGAGAGCAACCGCTTTGAGCAAAATAAGCCAAGGGAGAGTATAAGATCCTGAATTCTAGCACCACAGTTGGTGTGCACGTGAGCACATGTATGCACGCACACATACACACACACACACAACACACACACACACACACACAGAGGGAACTTTAGAATTAATGTTTTTAGACTTGAGACTTTGATGCCATGATTAGGATCTTTCCTTATTCTTAACTATTTAACGATGAGAACAAAGTGGTTATAACATTCCTATAAACAGCATAGAGATTTTTTCCCCTTTTTTTGTGGGTGTGGGCCTTTACTGGGGCTTGAACTCAGGACCTAGATGCTGTTCCTTGTCTTTTCCCCTCAAGACTAGTGCTCTACCTCTTAAGCCACAGCTCCATTTCCAATCATTTGGTGGTTAATTGGAGATAAAAGTCTCACAAACTTTCCTCCCCAGGCTGGCTTTAAATTATGATCTTCAGATCTTAGTCTTCTGAGTAGCTAGGATTCCAGATATGAGCCACTGGCACCTCATTCTCTTCATTCATTTTTTTTTAAAGCAGAGGATTAGAAATGAATGCTTAATTCATCTTTGTTAGTCCCAGGATATTATATGAAGAGAAGGAATACCCAGGGTTTACCCTGTATTTCCTGGCTATGATTTGTAAGCATCATTAGTCAGTCAAAGATTCTGGTTTATACCAGTAAGTCCTGTGTTTGGTTAACATGTGTAACCAGTAGACCATTGTCTGTATTTGGGGCCATCCTGTGCACATCCTTCTGCTTCAGCAGCTTCTCTGAGTCTGGCATGGTGTTTCTCTTCTTGCTACAAAACACAAAGTGTGTAATCAATGCCCAGCCCCAGTGCTCAATTCTATTCCACCAGAGACTCTTTTCTTTCCCCTGCTTCCCCAAAAGACTCCAACAATATTTGTATTTCTATACTCAGAATGACAGGATTCCTGTAGATTCCTCCAGATTCACAAAACTTTGTGTGTGTGTGTGTGTGTCAGTACTGAGGCTTGAACTAAGGGCCTTGTGCTGTTCCTTGGCTTTTTTTATTTCTCAAGGCTGGCACTCTATCACTCGGGCCGCAGCTCCATTTCTGGCTTTTTTTTTTTGTTGGTGGTTAATTGGAGATAAGCATATCATAGACTTTTATGCTGGGGATGGCTTTGAACTGTGATCCTCAGATCTCAGCCTCCTAAGTAGCTAGGATAACAGGTATGAGCCACAGGCACGGAGCTTAAAGGCATTTTGTTATATTGTTTGATAGTTACCGGAAGCCTCCAGGTCAAGATTATAACAACCATTTACCTGCTCTCACTTCTAGGCAGCCGGTTCCTTCTCAGCTCCCATGAGCAAAATGCTGTAGCCTATTTTCAACTGCAAAACCAGAGAACTGAACTTACCAGTTAGCTTCCAGAAACAAATCATCTTGACCATGGAAGACATGACTGGTTTGTGTCGCCATTATAAAAATACCCAACACTATTTTTCTAAAAAGGAAAAATAACACAGGAAAAGAGTTGGTAAGTGCAACATACAGGGTATAGTTTGGGGAAACTAGTTAGCTCAACTTGCATGTGTGTGTGTGCCAGTATAGGGGCTTGAACTCAGGGCCTGGGCACTCTCTCTTAGCTTTTCTACTCAAGACTGGCACTCTACCACTTGAGCTATGGCTCCACTTCTGGATTTTTGGTAGCTAATTGGAAATAAGAGTTTCATAGGGGGCTGGGAATGTGGCACAGTGGTAGAGTACCTGCCTAGTATGCATGAAGCCCTAGGTTTGATTCCCCAGTACTACATAAACAGAAAAGGCCAGAAGTGGTGCTGTGGCTCAAGTGGTAGAGTACTAGCCTGAGTTCAAGCCCCAGGACTGGCAAAAAAATGCTTCGCAAAATGCAAAGTACAACACAAATGGAGAATACCCTCAAAATCTCTGCATCTTCAAGCTCTTCAGCCTCTTGGGCACATCTGGACATTGCCATGCACATGTGTGTGGTTGGGGGTCATATAGAGATGGTGCCAGTGAGACAGATGAGCAGGACAGCCCTTACCCTTGAGCCTCTGCTCAAGTGAAACCTGGTTAGAGAGACTGTCTGCAAGCACCCAACTCTAAAAGCATCTCGTCTCCCCTGCTGCTGTTTTCCATCACATCTGTCACCATTGGACCTGTGTTCTGACTGTGTGCTCTTTCTCTCAACCCAAACACACTAGAAGTAAGACCCTGTAAGGGCAGACACTTAGTAGAGTTTAGTGTTAGAAATCTTTTTCAGCCAGGCACTAGTGGCTCACACCTATAATCTTAGCTACTCAGGAGGCTGAGTTCTGAGAATCATAGCAGCCCTGGAGACTTACCTCCAATTAGCCACCAAAAAGCCAGTAGTGGAGGTGAGGCTCAAGTAGTAAAGTGCCACCCTTGAACAAATAAGCTAAGGCACAGTATCTAGGCCCTGAGTTTAAGTCTGTCACCTGACAACCCCACTTACCCCAAATAACTATTTTGTACTGCTCTGTATTTTTTTTGCCAGTCCTGGGGCTTGATCTCAGGGCCTGGGCACTGTCCCTGAGCTTCTTTTGCTAAAGGCTAGCACTCTACCACTTGAGCCACAGTACCACTTCTGGCTTTTTTTATGTGGTACTGAGGAACCCAGGGCCTCATGCATGCTAGGTAAGCACTTTACCACTAAGCCACATTCCTAGCCTCTACTGCTCTGTATTTAAAGCTATTCTTATTTCTAGGAATGTCCTCTGCCCCTTTAGTCTGCCAAGAAAAATCAGTGGTTTTTTTTGTGTCCCTACACCCCATCTATTGCCTCCAAACCCTTGTACTGAAAACACCGTGAAAGTTCTCCTTGTTATCCCCTTACTCTTTCATTTCTAGTTTGACAGATGTGCCCCCAACCAGCTCTGTTACTTAATACTTCTTCTCTATTTTGGATCCTTGCACCTAGTACAAAGCTTGGCCTGCAGGGAGCGGATGCATAGCCCTCGAGTCTTTCTTAGTCCAGAGCTTAACATCTGGGCCTCCCCAGCCTTTTCTTCTATCTTCCCTTCCCACCCCTGACAACGCTGTAACACCCACCTTTACCTTTATTTTTCCATCTTTTAGAGAAGAGTGCTGGCACCCTACGGCCTTGTTTTCTGGTTCTTTGCTTCAAGCTCCTCCAAGCAACTTCACAGCGAGGCTTTGCCCTGTGGGACAGTGTTAGCTGGTCTCCAGGGTAACGGCTGGCACCATTGCAGCCTGGGGTAGGCTCACCCAGAGAAGAAGGAACCACCCCTCCCACGTTCCTTTGCCTTTTTCTGCCCTTACAGAAGCCTGAAAGGCCTTGGACCTCTCTCTCTCTCTCTCTTTTTTTTTCTTTTCTTTTTTTTGCGCTGGTCCTAAGGCTTGATCTCTGGGCCTGGGCACTGTCCCTGAGCTTCTTTTGCTCAAAGCTAGCACTCTACTACTTGAGCCACACCACCACTTCCAGCTTTTTTTGAGTAATTTATTGGAGATAAGAGTCTTTCAGACTTTCCTGCCTGGGCTGGCTTTGAACCACAATCCTCAGGTCTCAGCCTCCTGAGTAGCTAGAATGACAGGTATGAGCCACTGGCTCCCAGCTTTTATCAGCTTTCAGAAGTTCTGGATCAGCAGAGGACTATAGGTTAGACCAGTAGAGTCCTGCTACTGACTGCTTTTTTTACCCCAGAAAATCCACTACAAATATGAGAGTTGGTGATTTTCTTTTCCTCCAGATTGCCCCAGCCATGTGCCCTACAGAGGCACGAATGTCTTACCCCCACCAGGTCCAGCCTCCTAGAATCTCCACCATGTGGAATCGAGGCCTGTGGCCTCCACATCAGATCCTCTGCCACTGCAGCTCCAAACCCAGGCCCCCCTCAGAATCACCTAGGTGGTTTTTAAAGAAAGCATAGAACGTTCTCAGAACTGTGGGGAAGCATAGAGACAGGAATCTGAGGATGGCTTCAAGTGATTATGAGGTAACCAGGCCTTGACCCCTAGCTGGGACCTCTTAACCCTTTCTTTACAGAAACCATTTGTGATGAATGAAGGCATCTAATATCAACCAGCTTGGAAGTGGTCAAGGGAGCAACACTTGGTTTTTGTTTTTATTTTTGTTGGTCATAGGGCTTGAACCCACAGCCTGGGCACTGTCCCTGAGCTCTTTTGCTCAAGGTTAGCGCTCTACCATTTTGAGCCACAGAATCACCTCTGCTTTTTGGTTAATTGGAGATGAGTCTCATGAGGACTTTTCTGCCTTGGCTGGCTTTTTAAACTGAGATCCTCAGATCTCAGCCTCTTGAGTAGCTAGGATTACAGGTGGGAGCTACTGGCACTGGGTTGACACTTGGTTTTTCTTATACAGGTATGTGTGTGTGTGTGTGTGCATGTGTGTGCACACGTGCATGCTTGCGCTAGTACTGGGGCTTGAACTCAGGGCTTCTGGCTTTTTTTTTTTTGTCGGTAGTGGGGCTTGAACTCTGGGCCTGGACGCTGTCCCTGAGCTTTTCAACTCAAGGCTAGTGTTCCACCACTTGAGCCACAGTGCCACTTCCAGTTTTCTGAGTGGTTTATTGGAGATAAGAGTCTCACAGACTCTGGGCTGGGTAGGAGCCACAATCCTCAGATCTCAGCCTCCTGAGTAGCTAGGATTACAGACATGAGCCACCAGTGTCCAGCTTGGGCCTCTGGCTCTTACGCAGGTTTTTCAACTCAAGGTTGGACCTCTACCACTTGAGCCATACCTCTACTTCTGACTTTTTGCGGGTTAATTGGAGGTAAAGATTTGGGCTGGCTTTGAACTGCCATCCTTAGAATTCAGCCTCCTTAATAGTGAGGATTACAGGTGTGAGCATCTGGCGTCCAGGTCATTTCTCAAGTCAGGATTCAGTTCCTGCCCTTCGGTAGAAGTTAGAACATGTGTGATTCCTGATGTTGACCCCAAGCCATGGCAGTAACCACTGAACTTCTCAAAACTGAAACTGCTGAGTGCATAGATGCTCACACCAGTAACCCTAGCTACTCAGGAGGCTGAGACCCGAGGATTGTGGTTTGAAGCCAGCCCAGGCAGGAAAGTCCATGAGACACTTCTCTTTAATTAGGGGCTGGGAAGGTGGCTCAGTGGTAGAGCGCTTGCCTTGCATGCATGAGGCCTTGGGTTTGATTCCTCAGCACCACATAAGCAAAAAGAAAAAAATAAGCCGAAAGTGGTGCTGTGGCTCAAGTGGTAGAGCGCTAGCCTTGAGCTGAAGAGCTGAGGGACAGCGCCTAGGCCCCATGACCAGACCCCCCCCAAAAAAAAATACTTCTAATTAACCAGGAAAAAAGCTGGAAATGGAACTATGGCTCAAGTGGTAGAGTGCTAGCCTTGAGAAAAAAAGTTCAGGGAGAGAGCCCAAGCTCTTGTTCAAACCGTAATACCGGCATAAATAAGCAAACACCACCACCACCACCACCACCAAAAAAAGCCACCAGAAATGGTTTATCTTTTATGGGCAGAAGAGCCCAGGCTAGGAACAGCACATGTAAATTCAGGCTATTTACCATTTGGCCAATACCAATGGAAAGAGAGGAGGGAGATAAAAGTAAAGAATTACACAGCCATGAGCAACCAGTGGCTAGGCTGTGAACTAGCAGCAAGGGTCCAAGGGCTGAGGAGTGGCTCAAGTGGTAGAGTGCCTGTCTAGCAAGCACAAGGCCCTGAGCTCATATGCTAGCACACACACACACACACACATACACACACACACGTGCGTGTGCAAAGGAGAATAAGGGGGAAGAGGGGGAGGAGGCAAAGAAGGAAGGGGAGAAGGGGAAGGGGGAGGAGAAAAAGGAAAAGAAAAGAAAGAAGAGGAGGAGGAGGAGGAGGAGGAGGTGAAGGAGGAAGAACAGGAAATGATAAAGGCCTGTGTGTGCCCAGTTGTAGGGAAGCCACAGGTGGAAGGGGGCTGTCCGACTTGGAGATACCATTTTTTTTTTTTTGGGTCCGGTTGTGGGGCCTGAACTCTGGGCCTGGGCACTGTCCCTCAGCTCTTCAGCTCAAGGCTAGCGCTCTACCACTTGAGCTACAGTGCCACTTCCGGCTTTTTTCTTTTTGCTTATGTGGTGCTAAGGAATCGAACCCAGGGCCTCAGGCATGCAAGGCAAGTGCTCTACCACTGAGCCACCTTCCCAGCCCTGGAGATACCATTTTTGAAACCCAGAAGCCCCAGACAAGTACTCTACTATCCTCTCCCTTACTGTCTGGATTTCAACATTATACAAGAAGAAAAACCTGCTGAGCACTGGTAGCTCATGCCTGTAATCCCAGTTACTCAAGAGGCTGATCTGGAGATTGTTCTAAGCCAGCCCAGGCAGGAAAGTCTGTGAGACTCTTAGCTCCAACAAACAAAAAGCCAGAAATGTGTCTCAAGTGGTAGAGCACCAGGCTTGAGTTAGGTGGGAAAAGAAACTCAATGAGA